AGACAGACAGAGACATAGAGATAGAAAGCAAGAAATCACCTCCCGGGGGGACGGTCAAGCCGCAATCCCGTCTCCTCCATTCTCCTCTCGGGATCTTGGGCACACACGCACATGCGCCTGGCGTGAGTTTTAAGCCACCGGGTCCGGGACGCGAACCGCGGTCGACTACGTGGGAGTTCAGCGACATAGCCATTACGCTAACTGCTGGTTCCCCATCTCAAGTTTTTAATAAACTTACTTAGTACCACTTTTTGGCAGTAACACACCGTGCCATCTCTTTAATATCTCAACACATTTATTCACAGCTGTTTAGTTATTTCCAGTTTTCACTATTACAAATAAGTTTCGATGGTTAATGTTCTTGTCACTGTGCACATTTGTATTTTCCTAGGATAGTTACCTGGAAGCGAGCGGATTTTCTCAGTCACAAGTAAAATGAAAAAATATGACGGGGTAGCACAACACCATCCTCCCACAAGGGCTTGCCATCATCTACCAAGGACATAGGAGACTCTCTGCTTCCTTCACACGTTCGCTCTCCATTATTATTGTCTGTCTTTAAGAAAAAATAAATTATATTTATTTGCTTTAATATGCATTGCTCTCATGTCTAGATAAGTGAACTATATTAAACTGCACTTATTAGCTATTCATATTTTTCTTCTGTGTGATGCTTATTATAAAAATATAATGTTTGGATTTTTGCCTGTTTTTTAGTGATTTGTAAAAACTTCATGTCATTTTCATGTCAATTGCTCTTGGGTTATATGTTGCTCATCTTTTAACTTCAAGATGCCAATTTATCTTTTGATAGATTTAAATTGTTACATGATCGAATGATTAACATTTTTCTTCTCGGTATCTTTTTTTTTTGGAGAGGTTTTTTGCTATAGGGCACATGCGCTCACCAGACAGACAGAGAGACAGAGAGACAGAAAGTGAGAAATCACCCCCCAGGGGGGATGGTCACGCCGCAATCCCTTCTCCTCCATTCTCCTCTCGGGATCTTGGGCGCACACGCACACATGCCCAGCATGAGTTTTAAGCCACTGGGTCTGGGACGCGAACCGTGGTCGACTACGTGGGAGTCCAGCGACATAGCCATTACGCTAACTGCTGGTTTTCTCTTTTTAGTATCTTGACATTGGGTATTCATCAAGTCTTCACTCAGTGTTACAAAATTTTTTTATAATGTTTTTATAGGTTTTGTTTTATATACTAAATTATTTAATCAAAAGGAATTTATATTGTATATGGAGTAATGTAGGTATGTTTTTCTCCAAGTGGAAAACTGTAATAGTTGATCCAACTATTACTGAATAATCCACCCTTTCTTCATTCATGTAAAATATTTTGTTTATCTTTTACTAATTACTCAGATATACTTAAATTTGTTTTAGAACTCGATTCTGTTCCACAGATAATTTGGAAATGATTCCGCAAATATCACTTGCTAAAATTTTATATCATTTTTAATATCTGATGGGGCATGTTTCTCATTTGTTTTCAGGTTGTAAGCCTCAAAATTTTTTATATAATTATAGATCACACTTGGTAATCTTGTTTAAATTCCATGTACTCTTATTATTTTTTATCTGTTTTGTCAGCTATTTTCTGAAAGGAATAGATTAGCACCTTCTAGTCAAATTATAGTTTTGGTGGCCAGTAGGTGGCAGGAGTGGTTATGGTGCTGGATTCCCACGTGGTTGACCATGGTTTGAGTCCCAGACCTGCCGGCTTGAACCTCACACCAGGTGTGGGTGCATGAGTGCAAGAGGAGAATGGAGAAGTGACTGTGGCATGGCCATCCCCCTGGGGGATGATTTCTCACTTTCCCTCTTACTGTTTCTGTCTCTCTCCAGTGAGGGCACACACCCTATGGCAAAAACCTTTAAAAATTATATATAGGGGGACCAGCAGTTAGCGTAATGGCTATGTTGCTGGACTCTTATGTAGTCGACTGCGGTTCACATCCCAGATCCGGTGGCTTAAAACTCACGCCAGGTGCGTGTGAATGCGTGCCCAAGATCCCGAGAAGAGAATGAGGAGAAGGGATTGTAGCGTGGCCATCCCCCTGGGTGGTGATTTCTGTCTCTGTCTGTCTGGCGAGCACACGCGCCCTATAGCAAAAACTTCTTAAAAAAAAAAAAAAAAAGAGAAAAAAAATTTGACTAGAGAAGGACAGAAAGAGAAAAAAAGAAAGCAAGAAAGCAAACCACCAGGTCCAGTACTCGAACCATGGTCAACCATGTGGGAGTCCAGCACTCTAATCATCATGCCACTTGCTGGCCCCTCCACTTATTTTCATCTTCCTGTGTCATTTTGTTTTGTCTCTTATAAAACAGCATGTTGGGTTTTATCCCCCGTGCCCCCCTCACCCCGGTAGCCTTGGAGTATCTTATTTAGAATTTAACTCATTTCTTTTTAATTATTTAATTTTACTTAATAATGTTGTATTTTAACTTGCTATAGAGCATGTATACTCGCCAGAGACAGAAGAGAAAAGTGAGAAAACAAACTGCCTGGTTCTTGACTTGAATCACAGTCAGCCTTAACCACCAAGCCACCTATTGGCCCCAATCCATTCTCTTTTATTAAAAAAAAAAAAAATTGGAACAAGAGTTGGCATTATGTCTATGTCGTTGGACTCCCATATAGTCGCCCATGGTTCGAGTCCCGGACCCAGTGGCTTAAACTCACGCCGGCCGCATGAGCACGAGTGCCCAAGATCCTGAGAGAATGGAGGAGAAGGGATTGCGGTGTGGCCATCCATCCTGGGGAGTGATTTCTCGTTTTCTGTCTCTCTGTCTCTCTCTGTCTTTCGGGCTAGCGCACACACCCTATAGAATAAACCTCTCAATATATATATATGCATATATATATATATATTCCTACCATATTTTTTGTTTCATTGAATTTTTTATATTTTTCCTCAGTATTTCTGCTAATAATTTGGAAGTTTGTCATACTGATTCTAGTCTTCTACAAATTATTCTATATATTTTTAATGGACATATTTAAACAACTTCTCTGCCCCCTTTCTTCCTTCTCACCTCCTACCTCCTCTCTTCCTTCTTGCTTTCTTCCTTCTCATTCACTTCTTCTTCTCCTGGGATGCTTTTTCACGTGTCTTCAGTTTTCTGTGCTCTTTTTCTCCAGTTCTTCCCTTTCTCCCTTATCCTTCTCTCTTCTTTCTGTATGTGTTTTAGAATTTGATCTCCTGGGCCACTATTTTTATTTTCAGTTTGATTTATTTTATTATTAAGCCCTTCTACTGATTTTTAAATTACAACAATTATGTTTTTAATTTAAAAACACAATTTTTAAAACCAGTCTTTTCTTCTTTGATGGATACAGATCCTACCTGTTCTTTTTAAGAATACTAGTAAGATTTCTTTTTATAGATAGGCTGTCTTCTGCCCTCTGACCCACCTGCCTCCTCAGGAGTCATGTGCTCTTGTTGCTCACCTCCGTCTTTCTGGTTCACACGCTGGTGTCTCTGTTAGTCTGTGCAGGAGCCGTAACAGAGTGCCACAGTCGGTGGGTGAAGTGACAGGGATCCCTGTTTCACTGTTTGACGTTGAGAAGCCCAAGAGGAAAGTGCTGGCCAGTTGGGTTCCCAGTGAGGGCTCTCCTGGCTCACAGAGGCCCACCTTCCTGTCCCACGTCCTCACGTGTCAGAAAGAGGGGCGCGGCTGTCCTGCTCTCCTTGTCAGGACACTGATCCCATCAAAGGAGCCTCCCCTCATGACCTGGTCTCGTTACTTCCCAAAGGCTCCACCTCCTGCTATCCTCACGTTGAGGGTTAGGACTTCAACATATGCATTTGAGGGGGACACAGTTTCGTCCCTAAGAGTGTCCTTGAGTGTCCATGCATTGTTGTCACTAAAAAACTAGGTTGAATAATAGGGAGTGCATTTGTTTCCTGTTGCTGCAGAACAAACCACCACAAACTCAGCAACTCGGAACCACACCAGCGTGCCCTCTCAGTTTCCACGAGATAACACACGGGTGCCGTTTCCAGCCTCCCAGAGGCTTGCCATGTGCCGTTTAAAATGCAGTCCTTCCCCTCTTCAAGGCCAGCAGAAAAGCGTCCCTGCTATTTTGAATTCCTCTGACTTTCACGATCTCAATTTATAATTTCAGACCCACCTAGAACAATTGTCCTTTTGATTAACACAAATTTGAATTATTAGTAACTTAGGCATGGGGTGAATTTGCAAGCCTGGCTCACACTCAGGGGAGGAGATTGCGCAGACCAGGGACCGTGACCTTGGGCCATTTTAGAACCTCACCTTTTACAGGTGCACGCGCTTTCCTGCAGGTCCAGATCTGTTTTCTATCCAGACCTGCTGTTTCTCCTCTAGGACGGCGAGCTAAAACATCAGGCTTAAGTGAGGTGGGGGCGGAGCATGCTGACTGCCTAGTTGTACAAGTTATCCAAAATAAAGAAACTCTACCAGGAATGAAGGTTCTTAGGACATTTGATTTTAGGGTAAAAAAAGCTTTTTCTATCAAATACCCAATAAGTATAATGCCTGTCCTGTTTCTCTTAATTTTCTACCCTCAACTAGGAACCTTTTGAGGCGGGTAGTTCATTTTTTTTCTTTCATGCAGTTTTGGGTTTTCACTCTTGGTCAAGCACTGCTGCAGCCTGTTGCTGAGGTGAACTGAGTTGGGGTCTCTGCCCCTGCTGTTCTGTGTCCTCTTTCTCTTTTTATTTTTCAGAGAAAGATTTTTGCTATAGGGCACTTGTGCTCACAGGAGAGACAGAGAGAGACAGAGAGACAATGCGAGAAGTCATCCCCTGCCCCAGGAGGGATGGCTATGCCGCAATCCCTTCTCCTCTGTTCTCTCAGGATCCTGGGCACACTCTCACACGCGCCCGGCCTGTGTTTCAGGCTGCCAGGTCCGGACGCCAATTGCAGTCGACCACGTGGGAGTCCAGAGATGTACCCATTGCGCCATCTGCTGGTCCCTGCGTCTATCTGTTCAATTAATTTTTCTGACAGCTGCCCAGGGCCCCTCCTCAACTTCACATTTGCTCAGTCTGACCTTGAAGGTTTCCGGGATCTGTCGCGCTCTCTGAAGGTGGTGCTGGCGCAGCTGTGATGGTGTAACTGTGTGTGCGACTGTGTGTGTTCGAGGCTCTCTTTCCTTCCATTTTTGTTCCATATGCTTTCTATTTTTCAGGAATTTCTCACCATTTTTTATCTATTGATAGCATTGTTTTAGTTTTTTTAATTTATTTTTGCTTGCTATTGGGCATGCTTTCTATCAGAGCAAGACAGAGCGAGGGCAAGTGAGAAATCAACCCACCAAGGAACTGGCCGCACCACAATCCCTTCTCCATTCTCCTCTCGGGATTCTGGGCCTGCACAACACGCATCTGGCATGTCTTTGAAGCCGCTAGGTCTGGTTTGCCAATCGTGGTTGGTCATATGGGAATTTAGCTCTTTAGCCTCCTCGCCATGCTGGCCCAGTGGCACTTAAAAAAAAAAAAAAAAAAGTGTTGGACAGATTCGGGTGGTTTACCTGGGAGGAAGTCAGGAAAAGAGAGCATTGTCCCACCAATCACATCGATTAATTCTTGGGGGATTTAGCATTCGTCGATGGTGCTGGGTTTTTTCCTCTGGATTACTCCCCTTTATAACAAGTTGGTGTCAAAGAACGTTCTCTGACATCAACACTGCCGCATGTTCTCTGCCCTAGCTTGTGCGTAAGTGAGTAACAGGCCTCGCTGGAGATGTTCACACAAAGGACGGCTACTTTTCCAGAACCGAAAGGAAACTGATGCATCAGAAAAGGTGACTAATGAACGTTCCCCAGGAATATGGCTGCAGATGCCAGATCTGATCAGATAAAACAGTGCAAGGAATTTCCTGGAACCCACAATAAACTTACAGAAACATGCTTTTTGGACTGCGTGAAGGACTTTACAAGAGAAGTAAAACCTGAAGAGAACCACTGTTCAGAATGTGGCTTACAGAAGTATCTAAAACACATCAAGAACATCCGTGAGATTTCAGGAATGTATTCAGCAGAATGACGCCTTGGCAGGCAAAGTGGGACCCCCTGGCCAGCCACGGTAGAGAGGCCTGGATGGCTGGACTATCGGCGAAAGCGTGCCAACAGCTACCGCACTGGCAGTGAGGACTCGCCTGACAGAACCCCCGAAAGCAGCAGTCCCCATGTTAAACTGCTGGTCACAACTGTTTGGCAAATGGAAACCGCTGGAGAAACAAAATCACATAATCTAAATAGAAGGTCTTATTGTGAAATAAAAATAATACAATGCAATTTTTGTTGAGGCCTCACAGTTCAGCAGCTTGGTCGCTTGATTAGAAAAATAAGCCATTGTTTCTTCAATCGTGACTGTTAATTGTGAAGCAAAATATGTGTTCAATCATGTATGAGGTAGAAAAAAATTTTATTACTGTGAAAGTGAAATAAATGGAAATATCACTGAACAATTGTTTAGACTACATAGCGCCATATTATTCTGACTGGACTGTGAGTACGTTAAGATGCTTTTCGGTAGGCATCCTCCTCTAAGCATTCCTGTTCATTCATGTCCGCCTCAAATTGCTGGTGAATACATAAAACAATTACTTGCTACTCAGTTCAGTGCCTTATCTTTGTCTCGCCTGCCTTGTCAGGGTGAGCATTACACATTCTTACCCTTGCTACATTTTCATAAATGTTCTGGAAACATCCCTCCAAGACTAGCTTGGGAATGTTTAGAGCTGACCATTATGCTCTAGTGGAGTCTGTGTTGTTTTGTTCATAAGCTGAGAGTCCAAAAATGAATGATTTTCAATTTGACCAATGATATGCATTTTTCTAAGTCAAACAAAGGGACTGGTCTAATGAAAAATGAACAAAAAAAAGTTTTCTTGGGCCACTAAATATGTACTCACTGTGAAGTATTAATAAATTTCACATCTTTTAAAAAAGATTTAAGGTAGGAAGGAAGGTAAATGGAAGAGCTCTATCCGTCATTTCGCTCTAACTTCTTTTTCTCTTTTTATAACATCAAGTCTTTTGCTTTTTTCTTGTCATTGTTCAATTAGTGTTGTGTACAAGCAGATAATCAACTCTTTTTTTTTTAAAGAATTACTTAACTTTATTTATTTATTTATTTATTTTAATTTGACCAGAGATGAACAGAGTGAGAGAGAAAGAGAGAGAGACAGAGAAAGCGAGAATGCAAGCCACCAGGTCTAGGACTCAAGGGATATATATGTTGTTGTAACAATAAAAATATTTCAAAATAAACATCAAGGTTAAAACAAAAAACAAACAAACAAACCAAAAAAAAAAAAAAAAAAAAAAAAAACCACGGCTGGCCATGTGAGAGTCCAGCACCCTTAACCACCACGCCACCTGCCAGCTTCCAGATAACTCTTCAAGTGGTCTTTTATTTCATTTGCTCTCCAAATCTTTACTCTTCCTTTCTTATTTCCCCAAATAAAAAAAGGACAAGTAGAAGACACACATGAAAATCAAATATCACTTTTCCCTCTTCGTCCCTCCATTGTGAAAAGAAAATGGACTTTGATTGAAATTGCTGGCTAAAGTGAAACCCTTGCTTCATTAGTGAATTTCCTTTCCACCTGACTCTCCATTGCATGGGTAAGGGGAGAAAAAAGTTTCCCTCCAGCCTTCTAGGTACTTTGGCTGGTCTACAAATTAAATTGGCATCAGATTAACAGGACAAAACCGTATTCAGTTACGCATGTGCACGCAGGAGTCCCACAAACACACGAGACTCCAAAGAAGGCCAGATGATTGAAGCTTATGTAGCATCGGAGTGAGAGAAAGGAAGAGGCTTGAGGCTTCTGTGAGGAACTGGATCCTTTTACAGGAGAGGGAAGGCAGGAAATGTATAATGAATAAAGGGTGCATTGTTATCAAGAGAACTCTCAGCTAATGAAAGCAGCCCTTTTCCTGAGACACAGAATTTTAGCAACGCAGATTTGCTTATAGATGCAAATTTCCTTTACAGAAAGGTGGCTTTTCAGGACTGCTCCTCTGTTGGCAGCTTCCCTGCATGACCTCCTCAAAATATGTCAAAGAAAGATGAATTGGGATGGCATATTCTGGTCTCTTCTCGTCGTATTTGGGGTGGTATTTCTAAGTCCCAATAACTAGCACACTTTCATTACCTTCAAACGACTAGAATGTTTTCATGAACTAGGCTTATTCAACAAGCCATCAAAAGGAAAGTGGAATCAAGTTAGTAGCCTCTCTTAGGAAGCTAATGTAAAATTCTGAGAGAGCACAACCTCACAGGAAAATCGAAGCTTCCTAATTGGATAGCAAAGTACAGACTGTCCTTTCAAGAGACAGGATGGCATAGTTTAGCCCATGATTTAAGGGAGAGATTTTAAAGAATCAAATTTTGAAAGGGTTATATAAATATTTAAACCAACATATGCCACTTGTATATATATACACACACACACACACACACACACATACCAAGCTGACTGTCCGACTGTCTAAACTCACAGAGCAAGGTGGTCAAATTTGAACAGAATTTATAGCAGACTTGTGTGGTAGATGCATATTAGAAATCAGAGCATAAATTCAGATCCTGAGAGAGTAATAGTTACTGACATATAGGACAGGGGAGAGCCATTTCACATGTTCTTTCAGCAGAAATATAGTAAAGGGAATCGAAGGAAAAATGATTCAGAGAAAGCCA